GAGTAAAAATTATAAAAAAGTTGATATTGGGAAAATATTTTATGAGACGAATCTAACAAGAGTACGCATTATTATATTTTGCTTAACATACACATCATATTATATGGTCAAACAAGAGTGATGAATAGTGAAAAATCTCATTGTTGCAATGTTATTGGAACGAAGGAAGTAATAGAATAAGAAAAAGAACTTTCAAATTTCAATCTCCAGAAGAAGCAAATTAATGGGAAGAATTTGAAAGGAACCTTAATAAAAGACTTTGCTTAGTTGCATTTCAAACAAACATACCGTACAACAAACGTTAATTTTTTGTCTTTGCAAAACAAGTAAAATGTCATTACAATTAAGAAAGTGATGTGAAAAATAGTGTATGGGCCACAACATTCTAGACATTATAAGAGTATGTACTTGTGACTTTATGATGAGTTATCTAACATTTAGCATCTAGTGAACCAAATTTGTTGAATAGGAGCTATATTTGCTAATTCTAAATTATGTATTGACATTACTAGTCAATGAATAACTAAAACTTTTATACTTGAGCAATTCTTATAGCTAGAAGTAGTCCATTCTTGACCATTTCTAATCTATGACTACCTTTTTTTCACTTTCCAATCTAACTTTGGAACTAGTTAGATGAATGATGATCATGGGTCGCGCTTTGGTTTTAAAAAAAAAAAAAAAAAGAAAGAAAGAAAGAAAAAGTGGCTGATTTCAGGCCAAGACTTCAAGCCAAAAAGCCATGTCAAAACCGCTATTTTTTGTTTTTAAAAAAAAACCTAATGGGCTATTTGGGCCAAAGTTAGGTCAAACCTATATTTTTTAACTAAAGTTGTAATTTTGGGCCACCCAAAACTTAAATGAAACAAGACAGGCCCAAACTTCCGACCAAAAAATCTTCCCAAACCTGACATTTTTCGAGGAGGACTAACTTTGATCGGAGCTACTAGAATGGATAGGTTGTTACTATTTGACTACATGTGCATACTCACAAGTCATAATAACATCATAAATGACTAAATGAGCATCCTACCTCCTACTTCCTATCCCTTTCCCTTGAAGCTAACGTAGCTAAATTACAATGAGAGCAAATAATTACCTCAAAGTCTTGATAATCTGGGCATATCTGGCTCTATAATCTATACTATAGGCAAACAAAGGCAAAAAATTATAATTCTTATACTTCCTCCGTTCTTTTTTACTTGGCCCGCTTTGACTTTTACACTATTCACCACCTCTCCTTTGGCCGTCTTTTGTGAATGATATGTAAGGAAAATTATATTCATATGCTATCTTTTTTAATTCGTCTCAATAAGTACTATCGTATATACAACTTTTATAATTTTTACTTATGAAGAATTAAAGTTATTGATCGTTAAAGATTTGCATTGGCAAGCGTGATAAAAGAAACAGGTCAAGTAAAAAAGAACAGAGGAAGTATATTGGAAAACTCCTCGCATAGAAGTTAAAATCCTAAAGAAGGGGCTTTCATATGACTTAGAGCTACACAATTATTTGGAAAACGTACATTATAATTCATATAAACTATTCCTATATTATAATTGTTGGCAAAAAATGTTACACGAAAACGTACATTATATTTCGTATGTGTTGGAAAACTATTCGTATAAGTTGCACAATTACTGTTTGGTGGATTTGGAAGTGGATAAAAAAACATTGTCTTTAATCATGCGCAATATAATCCAATTTTGAAAACTTAAAGAGTGCTTGGGAACGAAGTGAGGCAGTCATTAGGTGGCTAGCTCCTCCTTATTGTTGACTAGCGTTAAATACTGATGGTGCGGCACGTGATATACCCCTCGATCTGCTGGTGGTGGGGGAGCGTTAAGGGATTATTCAGGTAAGCTACTACGGACTACGGAGTATATGCTTATTCAATTTTTTCATACAATAGAGTTTTAATAAAATGATACTAGATACTTTACAAAATAATTGATTATAAAGTTTTTTAAATTTGGTAAGATATAAAGAGAATTTCTAAGTAAAACAAACATGGCTAAACCAATAAATCTTTAATTAATAAAGATTAGTTTGAATAAATTCAAATCTCTGTTAAATATAATTTCTGTTGTATAAAACAATAAATAACAATAAAACTAATAAATAACGATAAAACTCTTAAAATATACAACTCAAATTTTATTGTCGGATGATATTACGTCATCTTAAAAAAAAAAAATTTACCCCAAATTTTGTGATTTTTCCACACAATTAATCTCTTCGAGTTACATTTTTGGTCTTGGGCAATAACACGTAAGTGAATATTGTCATCACCACCACAAAAAATGCAAAAAATATTAAAACTCCAAACTTGAGGGCGCATAGCATTAGCAGAAACGCTTGAGTTATTGCAAAAGTGAAGATCATATTTACGAATACGTTAATACTTTGAGCTGTTGTTCTAACCTCAAGCGGGAAGATTACACTAGGGACAAGCCATCCTATCGGACTTCATGACCAAGCCACCCTAGCGGACCCCATGACCATGCAAATCCGGCAACATAAATGCATATGAATAGTACAACTACCATTGCATATCATTTAAGTAAATTTACTGCATTTCCAATCGCCCCAAATTTCCATCCCATAAAGATTGTTACTTAAAACTAAAATATAATAAAGACTCATTTTATTTTAGGATTTTTTGTGAAAAACTACCTTTTAAACTCCAAATATTGCGAAAACCTACCCTAAAAACAAAATGTTGTAATTAACTACCTTATAAAATATAAAACGTTGTAATTGACTACCTTCTACCAGAATGACACATTTGACTTTTATTTCCCGACGTTGACCATGCCAAGTGAAAATGTCACGTGACCCTTTAATGACTTAATTCCCCTCTTTTCCCCAAATTTTCCTACTTTACACCAATTCAACCATATAATTATCAAAGGGGTTGCAAATAAACAACATAAAATATAAGTAATTGTATTGTTAAGGAAAAGAGTTGGTATAAAGCGGGAAAATTTGAGAGAAAGGGGGGAATTAAGTCATTAAAGAGTCATGTGACCCTCACATCACATGGTCAACACCGGAAAATAAAAATCAAATGTGTTATTCCGGTGGAAGGTAGTCAATCACAACATTTTATACATTATACGGTAGTTAATTACAACATTTTATACTTTATAAGGTAGTTTATTACAACATTTTGTTTTTAGGGTAGTTTTTCGCAATATTCAAAGTATAAAAGGTAGTTTTTCACAAAATATCCTTTATATAATTTAAATTATTCTAATAAATAAATAATAAATCCGGAATAAAATTTTACACAATATACACTTTCAGATTTGTTACAATACGTAAAGGACAAAAATATTTAGACTATTACAATGGTGAAGATTAATTTGATACTTTAAACAACCGATTGAACTTTAGTGGGAAGATTTTGATAGGAATTAGCCACTTTAGAGATCACCATAAGGTTTGGAATATTATGAACAACAAAAAGTGAAAAATAATGATATTGTTAAATAAAATATACTCTTTAATTTAATTTTTTTTTTATTATTTTTTTTATCTTGATAAAATAATTAAATATAAAGTTAATAATAAATTCAAATATGTATTTAAATATAATTTATGTTTCATTAATAAAACAATAAAAACTAATAAATAACAATAAATAAAAGTCTGTATACTGCTCAAATTTTAAGGTTAGGTGATATTGCGTTATATGGAATAAATTTACTTCAAATTTTATGATTTTTCCATACGATCGTCATCTTTTCGATATACACATTCTTCGTCTCGGGCAATAACACGTAAATAAATATCATCATCACCATGCAATAACACGTAAATAAATATCATCATCACCACGTAGATAGATCGAACTTAAGGGCGTATAACATTGGCAGAAAGCTTGAATTATCGCAAACATAAAAATCATATTTACGGATACGTTATGCTTTGAGCAGCTGATCTAACCTCAAACAAGAAAATTTCACTTGGAACAAATCACTTTAAAGGAACATGCAAATCTAGCGATATAAATGCATATGAAGGTCCTGTTTGGTTTGATGTAAAAGGTTTTCACGAAAAATGAATTTTCCATTTTTTCCCATTTTTCTTTGTTTGGTTTGTTAAGGAGTGGAAAACAATTTTTCAAGGGTGGAAAATTCCATCTTTAATGATGGAAAACATTTTCCTTCCAAAAACAAGGAAAGCCACATTTTCCTCTCTCCTCCTTACCTCTTTTTTTACTTCCCTCTCATTCATCCTTACATTTCCACTCTTATTTTTTATTTTTCTTGGACTTTTCTTGTATGCAACCAAACAATGGAAAACTAATTTGCAATTGTGTTTTTCCTTGAAAATATGTTTTCCATGAAAACTAATATTCCATTGAAAATGTTTTACGTTAAACCAAACGGGGCCGAATAGTACAACTACTATTGCATACTATTTAGATAAATTCACTGCATTTCTAGTCACCCAAAATTTCCATCCAATAAATATTGTTACTGAAATCTACAATACAATAGACACTCATTTAATTTTATTTAAATTATTCTAATGAATAAATAATAAATCCGCATTTAAAAGAAAATTTGGGATAAAATTTTATACAACAAAGTTACACGTATACTCTCAGATTTGTTATATTACCTAAAGTTTCTATTTGAAAAATTAAAAAAAGCAAAGAGTAAGAACATCTAACATTAGCAAGAAAATTGATCACCTTTTTGCGGTATATATAGAATTTGGTTCTGCCACTTGGAACATTGTATGTCCATAGCAAAAAAATTGAATAAATTTAAATTTTATAAATTATATTCAATTTCCACGTTTGTTTTTATGACGTTTCGTTCCGGATATCTTCAAAATTAAAAATGAATTTCTAAATAAAAACGGCTAAACCAACCAAACTAATAAATTCAAATCTATATTTAAATATAAATTTTGTTTCATTAATTAAATGAAAAATAACAATAAAACTAATAAATAACCAATAAATAAAAGTCTAGTATACTATTTAAATTTTAAGTTCAGGTGATATTACATTATCTGGAATAAATTTACCCCAAATTTTGTGATTTTTCCATACGATCACCATCTCTTCGATAGGCACATTTTTCGTCTCGGGCAGTAACACGTAAATAAATATTGTCATCACCACGACGAAAAATGCAAAGAATATAAAGAGGCCAAATTTCAAGGCGCATAGCATTGGCAGAAAAGCTTGAGCTATCGCAAACGTAAAAATCATATTTACGGATACGTTGATGCTTTGAGCTGCCGATCTAACCTCAAGTGGAAAAATTTCACTAGGGACGAGCCACCCTAAAGGACCCCATGACCATGCAAATCCGGCGACATAAATGCATATGAATAGCACAACTACTATCGCATACCATTTTGGTAGATCCACCGCATTTCCGGTCACTCCAAATTTCCATCCAATAAAGATGGTTACTAAAATCTGCAATACAGTAAAAACTCATTTAAATATAGTATACAAATAGCCAATTTTAAAGTCAAATTGCATGAAGCTTTAAAATCAAATTAAAACTAGCCAATGATCTTATCAATTCTATAGTCAAATAAGTATACTTTTTTTTAGCAATTTTGCATATAAAATACTTCCCCGCCTTTATGTGCAACAAAGGGGGTTATTTGTGAGATATAAAATATTCCTTTATTGCAGATAATTATGGGTGGAGGGAGTACTTAAATTGAAGAAATTTACCTGAAAAACGAGCATTTGAAGGCCTCCTTGAAGGAAGAGAGATCTCCTACCCCACTTATCGACCCCGTAAATGGAGACCAAAGTGGCAATGACATTAACACCACCCGTAATCACAGCAGAAATAAGTGAAGCATCATCTCCAAATCCAATGGTTTTAAACAAAACAGGTGCATAAAACATGATGACATTAATTCCAGTAAGTTGCTGAAACATTGGGATAGCAATCGAAAACGTAAGAGGAGGCCTATATTGCCTGTTTAAGAGGCTTCTCCAAGGGTGTTCCACCTTCTTAGATGCTTCACTAGCTGCAATTAGGTCTTGCAGCTCGGTGTCAACGTTGTCCACCCCTCGGATTTTGATTAGCTTTTGCTTGGCCTCTTCGACTTTGCCTCTTTCGATTAGGGAGTTTGGGGTTTCAGGGAGGATAAGCGAACCTACAAGGATGATCAAAGCGGGGACAATAGCTCCCCCGAGACTCAACCTCCATCCATAGTGCTCAATCTTGGCAAATCTGTAGTTAAGAAGATTTGCTATAAGGATTCCTATTGTGATTGTGAGTTGGAACATCATGTTTAGCGCGCCACGGTGCTTGTAAGGTGCCATCTCTGATAGAAAAACTGGTACTGACTGCATCATATTAAATCAAGTTACTACATATATACTTTCTTTATTTTGAAATCACATGAAAATAACGTACATTGTTGATTGTTAAGCATAAACTAGCATATATTCCATAATATAATAACAACAGAAAATACATTCAATTAGTATACATATTGATAACATAGCATGTATTATACTATAATATAATAACGAAACAAAATGCATTATTCAATCTATAACATAGCATATATTCCATAATATAATAACAAAATAAAATACATCACGTTTATTCAATTAGTATACATATCTATAACATAGCATATATTATACCATAATATAACATTACATATATTCCATAATATAATAACAAACTAAAATACATCACGTTTATTCAATTAGTATATATAATAACGAAATAAAACACATCACGTTTATTCAATTAGTATAATTATCTATAACATAACATATATTCCATAATATATTAACGACATACATGCATATTTATTATGGAGAATTTATTATAGTACTAGATTTGAATATATAAGTGTCAATTGCTTAATAATACGTAACGATAAATATAATTTGTGAGTACCTGATTAGCAAAGCCGATGCCAAAACCAAGCAAAATACGACCAATGATAAGCATGGCGACGTTTTGAGCAGCAGCATTGAGAATAGCACCAGCACAAAAGAGAAGCCCTCCAAAAAACATGGATCTCCTACGACCTAATTTCCGTGTGACAAAGGATGCCACGACAGAGGCGACTAGTGCAGCCAAGTATAAGGAGGACGTAAACATTGTTAATTTCGCGCTGTTGAATTTGCAGTACTGGTTTGTTCCTGAGTCTGCTAATTGCTTCCTATACACTGATGGGAAGAATCTCTCCAAAAACATCGGCATCGATGTCACTCCACCTATATAAATCATTAGATACAATCACAACATACACTATGTTCGATAATTGTCATATTTATGATATTAATATTTTTGTTATCCTAGTTCAACATACTTTAATTGAACAAATAATGCATAAGTATTAGATTGATTTATATTTAGAATATTATCATATACATATATCGTAAAATTACCGAATTTTGTAACGCAAAATGCAAGTCTAAAATCTAAATTATAAAACAAGTAATAATGTATACCTAGATTGAGCGACCTTGAATCATTATGTTACATCATACATTCATACTACATGTCTTTTAAGCAATTCTCCTATGATATGATAATATCATCTAAGCAAACTCGTTCAATTTTTTCGAATTTTGTATCATAACACTAGATCAATAATAGAAATTTACCCAAGTAAAAATTAAATTATACCTGAAATTCCGATGTCATATCCAAAGATTAAACCTCCAGCAGCAGCTAGTAAGCAAGTTAGAAAAACATGAACGGTAAGTTTTCCAGGATAATCTTTACCCTCTTTACCGCCATCGATCACTACTCCACCCGCCATTGAATTGTAAGATCTCTTCTCGTAAAATCAATAAATTTAATTTTGTGCTAAAAGCGTTGTAACATATGAATGAACCAAGAAAATTAGAACGATATTTATAAGAAGCCACACAGTATTTTTAACTTGACTCAAATTCCTTACCTATGTAGATAACCGAGTTACCCTACAATACCTCAATTAGAGTAAATTTCAATAATAGAGGTCTATCTTTTTTTTTTTTTTTTTTTTTTTTTAAATGGAATATATTATTAATTTCTATATAAAATTATATCTATTTATTTAAATTATTCACACAGATAGTCTTGAATAGTTAGTTATAACGATAATTTTTTAACCAGTTTATATATATATATATATATATATATATATATATATATATATATATATATATATATATATATATTAGTGGTACCCAATTAAATACGAGATTATTAATTTTTTTTTAAAATTAAATAAGTTAAATGACACGTAAACGGAATTAGAGAATGAGATTTCCCGCTTTAAATTAATTAAATATAAAATATTATCTTTTGATATGAATTTTGTCTAAATATATAACAAATTAAAGCACATAAATATATATGTATAAAAATATTTTTAAAAATTCAAACAAATTGTGCAGCTTCATCTAGTATATCCTAATTTAGAATTAGTCTGCACTTAGGAAGATTTTGGATGAATTAGGATATGTAAAGTTTCATTTGAAAAATAAATAAGTGGATAAAAAATCCCTTGAGGTCCTCAATGAGTTGGTAAAAAATATATTATATCTTTGTATGATATTCAACCATTCCAATGCAAACCTTTTTTTTTTTTTTGAGCATTTGAGCATCATAAAATTTGTATGAGTAATATGTTGATCTTGATTCTTGAGTAATTTTACATTAAAACGATTTTAACATGTTCTCAAGTATTTATGTCTCTGTTTTAATATGTAAAGGACCTAACATCATCAAAGCTATTATAAGAGGATAAATTAAAACCTTGTTTTGTTCACTTTATTATAATAAAAAGTTCATGTGATTTAAGATTATTTTTCTGTTCAGTGTTCACTACTTACTATATCGATCGTGATTGGAGAAAACTTAGTTTTGATAATCACATAAGCTAAATTTATACACAATAGCGGTAACCAAGTTAAAATTTTCACTTATCTAAACTTATTTTATTTGAACTTATCTTGTCTTATTATTTTAATTTGTTACACATTATTTAAATTTCTTTTAATTACAATTTATGCTGGATAACCCTTATCGTAACTTATTTTCCTGAATTGAATTTATCTGAACTTAACTAGAATTATCTCAATTTATTAGACCTCGAAAATATAGGTGAAAATAAGATGAACAAAATTAGCCTTATTTGTTCACTATTTTTTCACCTTTCTAAATACGAAGTATAACCTTTGCTTAGAAAAGTTATATTTATTATTTTATTATCTAATACGAGGTATAACTTTAGAAAAGTTATATTCATAATAAAATAAAATTAAATAAAAAGTTTAAATAAGATCATAATTTTATATTAACGATTAATATCTCTCCGATGATTTGCAACCATAACTTATTTATATATTGCTTAACATGCAATAGCCTAGAATTTTGTGAATCAAACTTGAAGTAATTGCATAGGAAGGATGGGAGGCATTTATATATAAACATTGTTATTCTTTAAAAATAAAAAATAAATAAATAAATAAAAAATAAAAAAATTTATTCATAAAAATTGAAGTAATTGTTTTTAATCTTGTATAATTCATCTCAGCTAGTTTGATTTAACTATTAACATGTATATATGAATTTATCTTGTTTGACGCTTTGACCTAATCTGAAATTATCAACTTATAGTAGCTAAATGTCACGGGTTCCATAAGCACTAGGCTAAATGTCACAAGTAAAATTAGTTAGTAGAGCCACTAGGCTTGGGTAGTCAGATGAATAGATTTTATGGTTAAATTCAAATAAGTTTAGATTGGAAATTTTGGGTGAAAAAAAGAAAATTTACCTCAACATATTTTATTTTATTAATATTTCTATTTTAGGGTAATGTACTTCACGAGTTTAATAAGCCCGTAATTGGCTTTCCAAGAGAATATTGAGTAGGTTGACATTGCTATGAATGACTCAAGCTAACCCTTTAATAAATTGATGAATTTACTTCAACATTAAAAAACTTTTACACGAAAATTTAATGAAACATTTGAAGATTAAACAAAAGAATTGCACTGAAATCACTAGAACATGATATGACACAACTTCAGAAATTTAGAATACATACAATTCAAATTGTATTGAGACTTAGGGCCTGTCCTCTTACGTTGAAATTCAGTTCAGTTCAGCTCAGCTCAGTTCAGTGCTCAGCTCCTAATTTCGTTCTCTTATAAAATATTCATTTCAGTTCAGCTCAGTTCGTTTCAGTTCAGCTCAGTTCAGTTCAGTGCTCAGCTCCTAATTTCGTTCTCTTATAAAATATTCATTTCAGTTCAGCTCAGTTCGTTTCAGTTCAGCTCAGTTCAGTTCAGTTCAATTCAGTTCAGCTCAGTTCAGTTCAGTTCAGTTCAGTTCAATTCAGTTCAGCTGAGTTTAGTCAATGAGAACAGGCCCTTAATATGGTTATAATAACTTGATCAAAAACCCATTAGTATAAGAGACTTGAATCTATCAAACAAAGTATATATAAGCTTAATATGACACCTTACTAAAGATGGGCCATTATGAATATATCATATATACTAGGATGTAAGTATATAACCCTTATATTTATAGTATTTAACCCATAAATCTATTAACTATTATTAAAAACAAATTATTGCTGATTTCATCAACCCTCAAATTAACTTATGTGTCACTGTAACATTAAAAAATTTCCATCCATTTTCTATGTGTGATGTCATCATTTATTTTATTTTTCTAATCCACTATACATTTTTTTTGGCAAAAAAAAAATTTACCAATATTTTTTACAGCAATGATAAAAATTTATTTTATGCATAATAATAAAAATCAATTAAATTGTGCAACGCACGAATCTAATCTAGTATTGTACTAAAAAATTATAAGGGTTGAAATCTAATCAAGGTCTTTCATAGCTAATTATGGATTTATGGTTAATCCGTTAACCTATCAAATTTAATGTCCTTACCATCCGTCTTTCTCTCTGCATGCTCTTTCATCACTCTTTCAACCTTAAAAGACTACAAAATAGACTCCATCTTCAATTTTCAAAGTTACAACTTCTCTTCTCAATTTTTTTTTACCTCTACCAACGACTTAACCATTTTTTTTTAATAATTTCGAATGAATCGGGAAATTTCAAGAACCTTTTGCATAAAAATAGACACAAAATTAAGATTGAAAATACGACCTTCGTTAGTTGTTATCTGCAATTTTGAAATTTTTTATATCTCACAAATAATACCTCAAAGTTGTAGAAAATAATTAACGAAGGTATAGTAGTATAATTTCAATCAAATTAAACGTTTTTTTTTTACAATTTAGGGCCTGTTCATATTTACTTATTTTCGGTTCAGTTCAGTTCAGTTCAGTTCAGCTCCAATCAGTTCAGTTCAGTTCAGCTCTAATCAGTTCAGTTCAGTTGTTAATTTTTTTGTTTTAGATGTTTTAGCATATTACAACAACGACAATAATAATAATAATAATAATAATAATAATAATAATAATAATAATAATAATAATAATAATAATAAAATAATAATAATAATAATAATAATAATAATAATAATAATTATTATTATTATTATTATTATTATTTTAAATCATATTCGTCGTTCAAAATGGTCACATGTTTTTTTATAGTTGAACTCATTGACAAAATGAGAGTACTACACAACAGTTACTAGCTTTCATAATCGGTTAGTTCTTCGTCTTCTTCTTCTTCTTTAAGTTGCTCCATTACCTCGATATTCCTCTGAATTGACTCCCATATCTGATCAGTTATTTGGTTTCGTACAATATCCATAGCTGCTTTTCTGTTATCATTGTACATAGTATGATCTTCTGTTGGTCCCATGACTTCAACTTGGTGCGTGAATGGAACCTCTAGTTCATGTAAACGAACAAAATTGTGTAAAGTACAACAAGCAACGATTGACTACAGTAAAATATTGAAGAATACTTTTTATTTTTATATATATATTTAAAATATAATAGACAAAAATTTAATAATCTAAAATATAATAATTTAAAATATAGAGTTATTTTTAAAACACTTTTATATTTTTCACAATCCACTATATATATTATCATTAATTTTCATAAACATTTTCATATATTTTTATGCATTTTAATTTTTCAGTTCAGTTCAGTTCAGTTCAGCTCCAATCAGTTCAGTTCAGTTCAGCTCAGTTCAGTAAATATGAACAGGCCCTTAGCATGTAAAATCAAAATTCTGCACAAGCAAATGAATAATTAGGCCAAAATTTAGGATACATCATTTCCCTTGAAATTAAAAAAATTACAAAAATAAAAATAATTCAGATTCATATAGCATATTGTAAATCTAACGAGAACCATAAAATGAGAAGAAAAAAAAATCAATCGGTACCCTGGAAGGCCAAGATCATCATAAACGGAATACCAACATGCTTTTGTATCATTCATGATATTTTTGTAATGTAACAACTCCAAAAAAAAAAATTAAAAATTACATCTCACTTAGGGTATGTTCTCTTCAGTTCAATTCAGTATAGTTTAGTTCAATTCTTAATTTCCTTCCTTCATAAAATATTCAGTTCAGTTCAAATCCAATAAGTTCAGTTCAATTCAGCTCAGTTCTACATGCCCTTACTTTTTGCTTGATCTCATTTAAAGTTTTCATTTGCTTTTTAAAATTAAAACTAAAAACTAGTTTAATTTATAGTTTTATAAAATTATGAAAATATAACTAATGACACGAGAAGCATATGAATCTTTAGATAATGATGATTCAAGCATCCAAATTGGGTCTTAGTCTCATTTTAAACTTAGCTCTTAGACCACTCTCACTCATGGGCAAAAAATAAAAATGCCACTCTCTCTCTACTCACTTTCTCACTCCTCTTTTTAATTTTTTCTTATGGGCATCTTATTTAGGAAATTTTGTCAGAAACCACCCGCTATAAACACTTATTTGTCAAAAACCACCTGAAATTTTTTTTGTT